GAAAGTTGTCTATAGAATTAATGAATGATGGAACAAGCAATGATTGACTTACCATCATTAAAGTAGGCTTCATAGCTTGTTACTTTTTCACATAGTGTTGATAGAAGGGAAGAGCCATTAGTGTGTGAAATAACTATTTGATGATACAAGAACTAGTTTTTAGAGCTTCAAGTTTCTTGTCTATTGCCTCCTTGATGGACTTCAACTCTCCTTCGTTCTCTTTAGCGCTTTGTCTCATTGCATTTGACTTAGAAATGAGAGTTACTTTCCCAGTTGACTCTGCCTCTTCCGCAAATTGGTCAGCAGACTTCAACAGTTCCTCAAGGGTAGCAACTTTTTGACCTGAGTGACGTCACTTGTCTTGTCCTTTATCTTAATTTTTTGCAAATTAGTAAGACTTGTTCTAATGCAGAGAAGGCTTAAACCTCTAATCTGCTATGCAGGTATATTCATTCAAGATACTTCTAGAAAAAAAAGCCAGGATTAGATTCTTTTATCATTAATTTTATCCCTCATAAATATGAGTTTATAAAGTTTACGTTTGAATTGATAACTGAACTGCAGTAATTCCTCCGTTCAGTTGTGTTATATCCCCTGGATTCATATTTAAAATGGAATGGTGCAGGCTAACCTTACAAAATACAGCAGAAATGATTTACTACTCTATAGCTATATCACTATTGCTGGTTCTAAGGGACTAAGGTTTTACTGAGTGAGAAGGTGTAAGAAAACATTTTTATCCTTTTTAAACAATAAATAAAAAACAATAGAAGAAACAATAGGAAGAAAGAAAGACCTTTCTCCCTGCTTGTGTATTTGGACCACATGTGAGTTTGAAAATATATTAAAAACGAGAGATAACTTGGAATCTGGAAACTCTGCAGGGATAAGGGAACCATCTCAATGGGAAAGCCCTTGGATTTATGGTCAAATTATCGACAGTACAACCCCCCACTCCTACAGCATCAACACGGGCAATTTTGCCCTCCGCCACAACCAGGCTCAGTTGCGTCCAGCTGCTCCGCCAGAACACGCTCCCAAGCAACCTCTACCCCTTCCGCTGATGCAGCCCTCAGTACCAGCAACTCCAGGACACAAACCTACACAGCCACTGCCAGCAGCACCGCTTCAGATCAAATGACCCGTCACCCTACCACCCACTCAACCACAGCAACAGGAACAGCAGATCAGCGAGACTCCAGTAGTCCATGTTAACCAACAAACTACCAGATCTGGACGGGTAGTACGCCTGCACAAAAGTACAAGGACTTTGCTCTCTCTTAGGAGGACAATGAACAGCAAGGAACTCACGAAAGAGCAAACCTTGGTTTGCCAACAGTGTTTTTTTTTCTTATTCGCCATTAGTTATTGCTCTTTTTTTTAAGAGGTGGGGATGTCACGTTATGTCACGTGCCTGTTATTGTGTTACTCGCATTTGATTCTTGCATAATTCCGAGTTACCGGATGAACTCAGGTCTGGTTTCTTAAGCAATAAAATATGTAATGTTCATGTAAACCGGAAGTTATCGATACCGGATGTTCGCTAGGAACTATGGAATATATGTAGCAGAACGACCATGGCGTCCACCGATGCTGTAACACGTCTTCTTACAACTGTTTATTAAGTCGTTGTTAATCGTTTGCATCTTGTTTTGAAATCCATTCAAATATCACAAATGGCGACAAGGATGGGATGCAAGTAATCGAAGACAGAAATCTTTGCGTTTAAAGTGTTACATCAACCGGAAAATCCTACTGATCAACCTTGTTTTCAATGCCTGCAGATTCTTCATCAACCACTTCGCCTTCACAGCCTTCAACAACTTCTGCAATGGCAATTAACCTACCGACCTTTCCTGAGTTTGATCTTCAACCAAGAGATACAGTACCCATTCGCTTTGAGAAGTGTGTCAAGCGTTTGGACAACATGTTTACAGCAATGAACATTACCCGAGCATCTCAAAAGAAAGCCATGTTATTGCATTACGTAGGAGAAGAAACCTGTGATGTGTTTGAGACCCTTACCGTTCCAGAACCGCCAGAAGGAAGTGACAAATACAAGACTGCCGTAAAGGCTTTTGCTGATCATTTTGAGCCTCAAAAGTGTGTGGATTATCACGTCTATGCCTTTCGTCAGGAAATGCAAAAGTCTGGTGAAAACATTACCGAGTTTTACACACGTCTCCAGCTGTTAGCACGCAAGTGTCAATTCGCCGATCCCAAACTGGAAATTAAGCGGCAGATTATTCAAGGAACCTCATCGCTTTGCCTGAGACGTAAAGCAATCGAACAGAGCCTCAATCTTGAAAACTTACTGAAAGTAGCTCGCGCCATGGAAACCGCCGACGAACAGACCACTGAGATGGAGAAACAGCAATCCAACGCAGTGAGCTATGGTAGAAATAAAGCAACCGACGTTCAGCAGAAAGAGAATTCTCGTGGTCTACCAAAGCCTGGATTGCGTAACAATAGGTGTGGTTTAAGTGGTGGAAATTACCCACATCAAGGAACTTGCCCTGCTCAAGGTAAAAAGTGTTTGAACTGTGGCAAAATGAACCATTTCTCCAAAGTTTGTCGTGGCAAACCCAATAATTGGTCCAAATCTTCGCACCCAAGGAAACCGTCAAAAGGTAAACACCATGCCAGGTCTGCAGATGTTGAAGAGTCTCCGAGTAGTGAAATGTCATCTCTAGCCAGTGTTGATAGTGACAACAGCCAAGAGTATACCTTTAACATTGCTGCACAGGGACACCAAGCTGGCAAGCCTATCTTTCAGTCTTTCAGGTCACGATCATGAACACACCTATCCGCATAATGGCAGATTCAGGAGCAACTGTGAATGTCTTAAGCAAGAAAGACTTTGATGGCTTTAAATCAAAGCCACAACTGGCTGAAACAAGTGTATCCATACATGTCTGATGAGCCACTAACCCTGTGTGGAAAGTTCTGAGCTACTGTCACCAGTGGTAGCTGTTCATCCGTGGAAACATTCTATGTCGCAAAGGGTTCATCAAGCTCCATACTTAGCTGGACAACCTCACAAACATTAAATCTTATTCATCTGCAGATGTTGAAGAGTCTCCGAGTAGTGAAATGTCATCTCTAGCCGGTGTTGATAGTGACAACAGCGAAGAGTATACCTTTAACATTCGTGCACAGGGACACCAAGCTGGCAAGCCTATCTTTCAGGTCACGATCATCGCCGAGTCCCTTTCCATGTAAGGAAACAGTTGGAGGAAAAACTCAAACAGCTTGAAAATGATGACATCATTGAACGCGTAGAAGGCCCCACTCCTTGGGTATCGCCAATTGTTGTGCCCAAGCCGAATAAACCGAACGAGATTAGAATTTGTGTAGACATGCCTTCACTAAACAAAGCTATCATCAGGGAGCGATACATCATACCCACCATCGATGACGTAGTGTCGGACTTGAACGGTTGTAAAGTGTTTAGTAAGATTGACTTAAATCAAGGGTACCACCAGATCCCATTGCACCCCGACTCGAGAGCACTGAGCACATTTTCTACACACGTTGGACTGTTCCAATACAAACATCTCAATTTTGGCCTCTCGTGCCCAGCAGAAATCTTCCGAAAGAAGGTGGGTGATGCAATCCTTGGCATACCATGCGTCAAGAACATCAGTGATGACATCTACGCTGGGGGCGCAGACAAGGACACTCATGACCAACATCTGAGACAAGTGTTCTGTCAACTCCAGGAGAGAGGTCTAACAATAAACTTACCTAAGTGTCAGTTTCGAGTTCCTACTATGCTCTTCTTTGGCCATGTGTTCTCTGAAAAGGGCATGTCACCTGATCCTAAAAAAGTTGAAGCTCTTCAGAATGTTGTGCCACCTACCAATGTATCTGAAGTACGAAGCCTCCTTAGCTCGGCTGCGTTCTGCTCCAGGTTCATCAAGAACTTTGCACTAATCTCCAGACCTCTTCGACAGCTGACCTGTAATGGAGTGAAGTGGCAGTGGACTGAGGAGGAACAGTCATCATTTGAACGCCTAAAAGCGGCACTATCTACCAAGACTACCCTTGGTAGATAGTGCCGCAAAGAAAGAAACCTACTTCCATCTTTGTCGATGGTAGTCCCATTGGTATAGGTGCTGTCCTGACCCAGAAAGATGTTTCGACTAATGAAGTGACACCTTTGCATTATGCCAGTTCTCCACTGACACCAATTCAAGCTAGATATCCACAGATTGATCGTGAAGCTTTGTCAGTTTACTGGGCTGTAAAGCGTTCACTTTTTCATCTATGGAGGGGAATTTAAAGTAATCACAGACCATCAACCTCTGGTTTCCTTGTTTAACAACCCCACCTCTAAACCGTCCGCCAGGATAGAACGTTGGCTCATGGAGCTACAGCAGTACTGATTCACAGTAGAATATCGCCCTGGCGCTTCAAACCCAGCAGATTATGCTTCGAGACACCCAGTAGGAGACTTGGAATCTCACAATTATGAAATCGAGTCTGAAGACCACATCTATTTTATTACAAGAAATGCAGTACCAAAAGCTGTAACATTGTGAGGTAGAATCTGCAACCGCAACAGATCCAGTGCTACAAGCGGTTGTCTGCAATGAAATCTGGTTGCTGGCATAAGGCGCCACCTGGTGTATCACTATATGAGCTATCCCGCTACGAGCAAGTCAAGGAGCAATTAACCTGCACTGACACTGTCTTGTTAAAATCTGATCGTTTAGTAGTTCCTGCTTCGCTGCAAGAACGAATTGTTGACATCGCCCATGAAGGTCACTTGGGCATAGTTAAAACTAAGGCCCTCCTGCGAGAGAAGGTGTGGTTCCCATGCATGGACAAGATGGTTGAAACAAAGGTCAAGGCCTGTTTACCGTGCCAAGTTGTAACCCCATTGTAAGCTAGAGAGCCTGTTCAAGTATCAGCTCTTCCTGACAGCCCTTTTGATGAAGTAAGCATCGACTTTGCGCATGTTGAGGGTGAAACCCTACTTCTACTGGTTGATGATTATTCAAGGTTCCCGTTCGTAGAACCAGTGTCCTCAACGTCCGCTAGTGCTGTCATACCTAAGTTAGATCAGCTATTTGCTACATTCGGAACTCCCAAGATTGTTAGATCAGATAATGGTCCACCTTTCAACGGAGAAGAGTTTGCCAAGTTTGCTCATGCGCTTGGTTTCAAGCATCGCAAGGTAACCCCATTATGGCCTAGGGCCAACGGTGAGGTAGAGAGATTCGTGAAAACACTGAAGAAGTGTCTTAAAGCCGCTAAAGTGGAAGGAAGAAACTGGAGAAAGGAACTGCAAGCGATTCTGAGAAACTATCGCACCTCTCTCCATCAAATCACTGGTGTGGCCCCAGCAGTATTGTTACTGAAACGTCCTGTGTGTAACAAGCTACCACAGACCAACTACGTTGACCCTGTGTCGGAGATCTTCCGCGAACGCAATTTCTTGCAGAAATCCAAGTTCAAGGCTCATGCTGACAGCAAGGTTTATGTGAAACCCAGCACTATCTCACCTGGTGAAACCGTACTAGTGAAGAGACCATTTACTGCGTCTAAAAGTGCAACTGTTTACGACCCTACCCCCTTGACTGTAGTGGATAAGAAAGGCAGCATGATCACAGCTCAAAACGAGAATCGCACAGTTACCAGAAATTCCTCTTTCTTTAAAACTCTGGACCAGTAAGTCATCAACCGTGGTGATGATCCGTCCCATGACAATGGTCTCAGCTCTCCAGCTCTCCAGCTGACATCAAGCACCAACAAGAGCTGCCTACTAAACGTACACATGCTCATGCTTCTGACCTGTCTGCATCAAAACCTGTGCGCTCCCCTGACGTGCAAGCTAATCCTACAAGTTCATTTAGCCCTATCCCAGAGGGCCAAGCTGGTGCATCTCACCCGGTTGGTCAACCACCATTGCGTAGATCTTCCAGGAAACGAGTTCCCCACCAGATTCTTGATTTGTAAGCCTAGATTCTTATTGAACTGTGAACTCTGAACTGTGGCAGTATAGTTTGTTAAGTTAAAATGCTGTCACCTGTACAAAAACGTTTGTTTTTGTTGGACTTTGATTCCAGTCAGTAGTCATAGTTTCATGGACACTGATTAGTTGAAGTTTATTTTATTTCTTTCCATATCATTCTAGAGAGTTACCCACTAGGGAGAAAGAGATGTAATGTTCATGTAAACCGGAAGTTATTGATACCGGATGTTCGTTAGGAACTATGGGATATATGTAGCAGGACGACCATGGTGTCCACCAATGCTGTAACACGTCTTCTTACAACTGTTTATTAAATCGTTGTTAATCGTTTGCATCTTGTTTTGAAATCCATTCAAAACATCACAAAATAGAGTATTCATCATGGACATCTTGTCTCCTTTGCTCGATGCATAACAGTTTCAAATCCGACATTTCTTATGGAAAACAATATACCTGGCGCTTCTCTTCTTGGAAGAAAACCTGAGGAATTAAAAACCTCAGAGCTTAGATTTTGGCTTAAATGTTGCAGAGATGTGGGGAAAGGATTGAAGACAAAAGTAGAGCTGGTGAAGCAAGTGCGTGACTACATACAAACAGGTAAAGATAAACATGTTGTGGATCCAGATCTTCACAAAATATACAGCCGTAGGAAGGAAAAGCAAGGCATGAATTCTGAGCCTGACACTGACAGTAATGAATCAGTACAGTTTCCCAGCTCTGGATGGGGAACTTCACTTGAAAAGATGACTATGTTCACCCGGCTTCAAATGAATCGCCATATTTTGAAGTCTGGAAAAGCTATCACCAATGTGGAACATCACACCGTTCTGACTAGATTAGTAAAGGCCAGGTGCTTTTTAGACGACAAATACCTAGAGGATATTGAATGTGCGAGTGATTCCAGGTACTTTTTCTTTAAAGGGAAGTGTTGCCACAGTTTCAGGAAAAGTGACCCTCCTCATAATCTGAAAATTGCCCTATGTATCTTGTCAGGAGAAGTGGTGAGTGCTTCATGTTCATTTGTGGCAGGAAAAGTTGGATTCTGTAACCACGTATTGGCAATGATGTTTAAGATGTGCATGTTCACTTTATTTTCTTCAACTACTTCTAAAGATCTGAGTGAGGAACAGGATCAACAGTCCTCTGTAGCTTGTACCTCTCAACTCCAACAGTGGCATAAAAAGGGTGGGGGAAAGAACATTGCACCTCAACCACTAATGGAAGTAGAAGTGAGGAAAATAAAGGACACTGAATCCACTTCACGTTTTAGTATCAAACCTCTTTTGTATGATGCCAGAATGAAAAATACCCACAATCTGGCTACAGAGCAAAATCTCAAGAACCAACTGAGATATATTAATCCCAATATGGACCTTGTTCAAATGGCTTGTCATATCAAGTGACACTTACAGAATCACACTTCAAGGCCAATGCATCTATTGACTGCATTCCAAGACTTGATCAAGTCAATAAAGAGGCCTTAAATTATCCAAGGTTTCCTCTAAGGGACATTTACGGCATAGTAATTCCTGATAATTTGTCTGAGAAAAACCAAAAACTTTTACAATCTTTAATTTTAGATGAAGATGAGATCAATGAGCTGGAAACTCAAACAAGGAGACAAGCTGAATGCTCAAAATGGAATGAAGAGAGAAAATTTAGATTTACAGCGTCACAGTATCATTTGATTTCTAAATGAAAAAGAAACCATGCTAACTTTGCAGAGCAACTGATGAATCCCACACCAGTTTCTTCTCAATATTTAGAACATGGCCAAAAGTATGAACCAGTTGCTCTAATGGAGTACGAAAAGTTCATGTTCAACAGAAGAACACCTGTTAAAGTACTGCCCTGTGGACTTGTGGTGTCAAGAGGATGTCCAGTTTTAGGTGCCACCCCGGATGCATGAGTAGTTGACTTTGGCTGTGTTGATTACTTTGGGATAGCAGAAGTAAAATGCCCATACACCAAATATCATGTTGTAATGTCGTGCGTCAATCATGTTGGATCACGTGACTAGAGAGAGAGATTATTATTAAAAAAAAAGCAAGGTTTTTACTACAAGCAGGGCGTTGTGGTTCATTTTACTTTAGCTCTATTCGAGACTGATACTCTCGATACCACATCTGGCGACGAGGATTCTAAAATTCATGAATCCCACAGTCAATATTCACATCAACACCGGTTTTCATTGAGGAGTTCGCTGTGTAAATTTTTCTTGAAAGCACGTGCTGTTTTTGCGACGCGCTCAACTCTGTGAGACCTCATGGCGGTTTTCATACCAAGTTTTCCACCGTTCGACGTCCATGCCGATGGCAGTGCAGGTCCACGATGGAAAAGATGGCTAGGACGCTTAGAACGAATGCTTATCGGAATGAACATCACAGCTGCGAAAAGGAAACGGGCTTTGTTGCTGCATTATGCCGGCACCGACGTAGACGAAATATTCGACACCTTACCAAACACTGGCGAAGACGGCGACTATGACACGGGCGGTCGCGAAACTTAACGAGTATTTCTCCCCACAAGTCAACACCACATATGAAGTATATAATTTTCGCCAGACGAAGCAGAAAGAGGGTGAGTCGCTTGATAGTTTTCACACCAGGCTTTGCCAACTCGCGAAAACCTGCGAATTCAGCGATGTTGACAAAGAAATTAAAGAACATATTATTCTGACGTGCAGTTCCAGCTCGCTTAGACGCCGAGCGCTACGTGAAAACCCAACGTTAGAAGGTTTATTGAATCTAGGAAGAGCATTAGAACTCAGTGACAAACAAGCGAAAGACATAGAAGATACCGGAGGCGAATTCCAAGCCGTCAACAAAATCAAACAAAAGAAGAGAATCGGCAAAGCCACAAGACGATACCGGGCGTGACACACAATCACGCAATCGTCGTTTTGGAAACAAGCAAGGCAATTCTCCCAGAAAATGTGGCAAATGTGGCGGGTACGCACCTCATGAAAATCCATGTCCTGCGCAAGGAAAAGTCTGTAAAGCCTGCGGGAAAATTGGTCATTTTGCTCATGTTTGTCGTTCAAAACCTCGTACCGTGGCCTCCGTGGAAACTGGTCAAACCTCTGATGAAGAATATGAGTACGTTTACACTGTCGACCATCAAGAAAACAAGAAGCCACCCATATGTCAGCTACAAATCAATGGAAGAAACGTGAACATGATGATCGACTCGGGTGCATCTGTTAATCTTCTTGATGAAATAACCTTTCAAAGAATTAACAGTCACGGCAGTGAAAGCCTGCAGCCTGTTCACACCAAGATTTATTCATATGGATCTAAAGTCCCTCTTCCTACCCTGGGAATCCTCACTGCAACCGTGAAATCCAGTAACGCGAGCACCTCCGCTCAGCTGACTGTTGTTAAAGGAGAAAACGGAAATCTTCTCAGCTATCACACTGCAAAGAAACTAGGTCTGATTGCGGTTTCTATTAATACTGCCACCGTCACTGAAAGAAACAAAGACGACCCGAGTCTCTAAAAGAAGAGTTCAAATCACTGTTTGGAGGCATAGGGAAAGTACCAAACAAACAAGTGAAGTTACACATTGACCCCGATGTTACACCCGACAGCAACCCCACAGACGAATTCCATTTCATGTTAGAGACGATGTCGAAAAAGAGCTTGAGAGACTTGAGAAACTCGACATCATCGAGAAAGTTGAAGGGCCCACACCCTGGATCAGTCCAATTGTTGTCGTCCCCAAGAAATCCGGAGAAGTTCGAATCTGTGTTGATATGCGTGAGGCAAACCAAGCAATTAAGTGGGAAAAGCATCTCATGCCAACCATTGATGACCTTGTTGCTGATTTGAATGGTGCAACGCTTTTCAGTACATTAGATCTGTCCTCAGGATACCACCAGCTTGAGTTATCACCTGAAAGTCGTTATGTCACAACCTTCAGTACACATGCTGGCCTAAGAAGATACAAACGTTTGCCTTTTGGAATTAATGCAGCGTCCGAAATTTTCCAGGAAAAGATCAGGGAACTCCTTTCTGGCCTCCCAGGATGTAAAAACATCTCAGATGACATCATAGTATTTGGAAAAGACCAGGAAGAACACAACAAGAATCTCCGTGGTGTTCTCCAGAGGCTTAAAGAAAATAACCTCCGTCTCAACAAAGACAAGTGTGCGTTTTCCAAAACTGAAATCAAGTTCTATGGTCACATTTTCAGCTCTGTCGGTGTTAGACCTGATCCAAAGAAAGTTAAAGCAATCCACGAGGCACAATCTCCTCGGAACCATAGTGAACTGAAGTCTTTTCTTGGTATGGCACAGTACGTCTCCCGATTCATACCAGACTATGCCACAATCACGACCCCTTTGCCTGCTGACCCGACAGGACACCCCTTGGAAATGGGAGCAAGAAGAACAAAAGGCATTGGACAAGCTGAAAGAAGCCCTCGCTGGGGATCAAGTTATGTCCTATTTTGATCCAAGAAAGAAGACCGAAATCATTGTCGATGCGAGTCCAACTGGTCTTGGTGGACTGTTAATACAAGAAGGCAAAATTCTTAGTTATGCAAGCCGTGCTTTGAGTGATGTGGAAAGTCGCTACTCCCAAACAGAGAGAGAGATGCTTGCCGTAGTATGGGGAGTGGAACATTTTCATCTGTATGTTTATGGTGCCCAGTTTTCTGTTATTACTGATCATAAACCTCTCATAGGCATCTTTAAGAACCACAAGCAAACTTCCCCAAGAATGGACAGGTGGAAACTTCGACTCATGCCCTACGACTGTCAGCTGATCTATCGGCCTGGAAGAGATGCCGAAAACCCTGCTGATTACATGAGCCGACATCCGTGTCCCACAGCACCAGAAGAACAAAATTTGGCTGAAGATTATGCCAACTATGTATGCTCTAATGCTGTACCAAGAGCAATGACGCTCAAGAAATAAAACACGAAACCAGAAATGATGCAGAAATGCAAGCTGTCGTCAAGGCTGTGGAAACTGGCCAATGGAATGTTCCAGACGTACAGAAATACAAGAAGCTCAAGGAAGAATTATCAGTGTTCAATGGACTAGTATTGAGAAGAAACAGAATTGTGATACCATTTACTCTCAGAAGTAAAGCAGTAGACCTGGCACATGGTGGTCACCAGGGGATTGTCAAAACAAAGCAACTCATCCGAGACAAAGTGTGGTTCCCCGGAATCGACAACCTAACAGAAGAGAAGGTCAAAAGCTGTCTTTCATGTCAAGCTGCATCGACCAAGTCACCACCGATTGAACCCCTTCGAATGACGCCACTCCTTAGTGGACCTTGGAGAGAAGTCGCAGTGGATTTTGCTGGACCGTTCCCCTCTGGTGATTACATCATGGTTGTAACAGATGAATTCAGCCGTTTTCCGGAAGTAGAAATACTTACCTCAACATCAGCAAGAGTTGTGATCCCTAAACTTGATGCAATATTCTCAAGACAAGGTATTCCTGATGTCCTGAAAAGTGACAATGGTCCACCGTTTAATGGTCATGAATTTAAGAACTTTTCTGACTACTTAGGATTCAAGCATAGAAGGATAACCCCGTATTGGCCAAGAGCAAATGGAGAAGCGAAACAACTGGTTCAGACCCTCCAAAAGTCTATCAGAATTGCTCACCTAGAAGGCAAAAATTGGAAGCAAGAGTTGTACAAGTTCTTACGGCAATATCGTGCAACACCCCACTCCACCATCAATGTGTCTCCAAGTGAAGCCTTAAACAGCAGAAAACTCAAGACCACACTACCAGAGTCACCAATCACCCAACACAAGCTGCCGCGATATACACTTCAAGATCCATCCGCTAGCGTCGCCCAGAGAGATGCTCTGCAAAAGCAGAAAATGAAGGTCTATGCTGACCTCAAAGCGCATGCTCAAGAACGAGAGATTAAGCCAGGAGAAGTTGTACTCATTAGACAACCCAAACAAAACAAGCTCAGCACTCCATACAATCCAAAACCATTCATCGTGGAGGAACAGAAAGGCACCATGGTCACAGCGAGTGATGGTTCACACACTGTTACGAGGAATTCATCGCAGTTCAAAGTTATTCCGAAACATCTTGCACCCTGCCAAGAGAATGGTGGAAGGAAAGATGAAGAAAAGACACAATGTCCATCCAAAATGAAAGCTGACGCCTTGCCGAGACGATCGAAACGACAGATCAAACCTCCTGTCAGGTTTTCAGACTATGTACAAATCGTCTACGAGAAATAGGCTGGAAAAGGAACTTTTCTGATTCTCTGAGAACGTTGACATAATATGAAGTGTTTGAAGGAAAAGAGATCTCAGTTTAAATTCAGTTTGAATGTTGATTATTGAACTTTGATTACAAAACGATGTACATTGTTTTGTTTAGAATTTTAGGACGTTTATCACTTAAAATACAGTTAGTCACCTTGTGTTCTTTTCATCCGAAAAAAAGGGAGGGATGTAATGTCGTACGTCAATCATGTTGGATCACGTGACTAGAGAGAGAGATTATTATTAAAAAAAAAGCAAGGTTTTTACTACAAGCAGGGCGTTGTGGTTCATTTTACTTTAGCTCTATTCGAGACTGATACTCTCGATACCACACATGTTACACCCCTTGCACAGATGCAAAGTTCTTCATGGAACAGATTGGTGCTTCTAAATGTAAATTAAAGGAGAACCACCAGTACTATGCCCAAGTCCAGGGACAGATACCAGTTACGGGAGCAAGGTGGTGTGACTTTATTGTTTTTACCAGCAAAGGCATTTATGTCCAACGCATACTTTTTGACCCTGTTTTCTGGGCTGAACTAGAGCAGAAACTGTTTTCTTATTACTTTGAACATTTTATTAAGTTTGCTTCTGCAAAGCTTTTCAATTGAAATTGTCTGCCAACAGAGACTGTGAAGTCTTATGCACAGCAATTTTGGATTAAATAATTAATTCATGCCTCACATGAATGTGATATTCAGATTGATATTATGTTAGGTTGTGCATTACAGTAGAATGCACACACTGCCTACATCTGGTTTACAATTCCCATTTGATGTAGTGGAATAACTCTGTCCCAGATGTGAAAATTCTTAATCTTATTGATGGCACGTTCAACATGTATCCGTAAACTTGCAAGTTCCTGTGTTTTTACCACATCTTCTGCAGCCATCTGTGATGATACTCCAAGAAAGGGTGGTAAATTTAAACTAACTCCTAAAGGCAACAAATCCTGAATTGTGAATCCCTTATCTGCCATAATGGAGTCTTTGTCATCAAATGGTAGATTTAAAAATCCACTCCTTCTGACAATTTCCCAATCAGAAATAGAACCTGTATACAGTTGACTTATGAATGTCACTGCTCCACTGGGAGAAATACCAACCAAACCTTTCAAAGTTGTGTTATTTTTGTAAGCACTGAAAAGTTCTCCATTCAACTGCAAGCTGCTTGGCATTTGACATTTAACCTCAGTACAGTCAATTATGACTCTAGTACATTTGTACTTTCCCTTAAAGATTTGGGCATTGTTGTATCGATTACTTTTCTGCTGGGCCAAATGATTATTTGTCCAAACTTAAAGAACATAAAATTGACCCATGTGATAAATATTCTACCTACTGTGGATGCTGATATATCAAATAATTGACCCAGATGGTGTTCTGGGAGTCCTTGCCTTAGCCTACACATGACCATAAAAAATTCATCAAGTGGCCTTAAAGATCTAGCTCTCCCTTTCTTAAAAGGTCCTTATGGTCCTCACCAGCAGACTCAGTGTTGTTGTCAGTTTTTGACCGCCAGTAGGAAATGTTCTCACCTCTTTCCCCAGGATCAAGATACTTAAAAACAGCCATTAAAATGTCCCAGCTTTGAAAGCCAGTATAAAAAGCAGCATTGGAATCTTTTGCCTTTCAGTTTTCAAAGTTAAACAATCTTTTACTAAGTGAGTCACTTTGCCACTGGGTATCTTGCAGTTGACACTTGAGTTCGTCAATTTCCTGTTCGAGTTTATGAATCTTCTTGTTATTGTTGTCAATAATTTCTCTCAAGTATGCCTCCTGGTCGGTAAAATCAGTTTGTGTTCCAACCTTGACTTTTGAGCTACAATCTGGTAAATTTCTAATGATGAGAGGTTTTGAGAAACATTTTAGAATAAAGAGTAACAATATAAAAAAGCATAAGTATTCCGTCATTGGTAAACACCTACAGGATAAACACAATCAAAGACCTACCAATATTCACGAGCAGTTTACCATCTTAAAGAAATGCCATGGAAAATTTGAGTGCCTTATTTACCAGATGCTTTTGATAAGGAAAAAGAGACCGACTCTGAACACTCAAAATGACTCCATTCCAGTGAAACTGTTTATTTAAAATATTTTCACATTCTTTGTTTATTCCCGCCTCGTTTATTCTAATGTAATTTGTCACTTACCATTGTATATATAACGTTCACTATCTTGTTATAATTTGCATTTGATAATGGTGACAAGTCGTCTCCGAAATGTCATGTTTTAATATCGCTACTCTTTATTCTAAAATCTGGTAAATGTGGGACAATTTTGTTTGAAGATTCGTTTGACAATTCGTTTGATAATTCTTCAACAACAACAGCTGGGGAAGACAATGTCTGTGATGCACTTTTCAAAGCTGTCAGTTCGAAGTTTCTTTCCGCCGGCTCCTTTCTTTTGCAAGGCAATGTTTGAATCCAGGGAAACACAGAAGGCACAACTCCATCTCTTAATTCATTCTTGCCGGCGAGAGGTTTTTTAATATCACCTTCCCTGAGTTGCTGGGAGCATATCTTTGTATGTTCAGTTACCTTGAAGTGCTTTCCTTCGTCTCTTCTTATCGCGTGTAGCCATTTCTTCTTCATCTGGTTCTCGGTCCGAAATTTAAAATAAGTTACCTTTGTACCATCGTCTTTATGGTATCCTTTCTTTGTACATTCTGGGGCACAACAGTGAGTCGGCATTTCCTCTGCTTGAAAATAATTTGATAGAATCAACTCAAATGTTGTCCTCAAATGTGGCCTTTCTGACCTCGGTTTCATGTTTAACTTAATACCAGTCTCGCACACCACCAGCCATTATGAAAGTCGTCAATACAATCACTATTATGATACTATTATTAGTATTATTATAAAAGCATTGTATAATAATATACATTATTATAATAACATTTTTACAGGCTAACTACTTCAGTTATGAACAACTGCTATCAACTAAGCACAAGGGCTGCACTAGCATACTGACCCTGAGTATACTATGTACACCCTTGTAAATAAAAATACTCCAGTTGCAAATAAAGATTGATTGATTGATTGATCAATCAATCTTGACAGTTTACATTGAGCACATTGTGGTCCGTAGAGAAAAATACCAGGGCCAATATTCTCCCTGTATGGTTCCAAGAAATCTTGGTTAATATGAGGTTTATTACCCCCTTGAGTGCCTATATGACGTACTGAGTACGTCATGACCTTTTCTCCCTCAGGTGCCTAGGTGAGTACGTCAAAACTTCGAGAGATTTACTCAAAAGCCTGGCACCCGGGATGCAACTTTTATTGTCACCCTCTCGGCACCCTAGATTCGGAAAAGGTTTTTAGGGGGACTGGTAATGAGCTTTGGTTCCCAAGAGTCTCTACGAATAAATTTTTCACATATCCGTGCGATTTTTTGCCGCCATCTTGGTTGCAGTACTGTTCTAAGGAAGCATGGTTTTTTGTTCGAGGAAAGCGCGGAATTTTTGTATTTCTTTTACAAACAACCTTGGCTGATGGCTCGATTTAGTGCTCAAGATGTTTTGGACAGAGTCTGGAACGATTCTGGAGACGAAGGAACGATCAGTGATAGTGACTACGCTCGTGGGAATTCTAATTCAGAGAGTGAAAGTGACGAATGGAGTGGTGACTCTGCTGAATCTTCAGAAAGTAGCGATACCGAAAGTGGCAATGAGTCAGAGGAAAGTGACAACGAGCCTGCTGCAAGAAACAATCCTAATCCACGGGGGCGAAGAGGGCAACCACATCAAAATCAGCCTGCTTTACAGTGGACTCCTGCCAACATGGAAAGACCACGTGCATTTCCTTTCACTGGCATCTGTGGAATTCAGGTACACACAGTTGGATTTGGGCCAATTGATTACTTTTCCCTGTTTATCAATCAGGATCTCATAAATTATTTTGTAACTGAGACAAATTGTTTTGCTGAGCAATTTATATCTGGTGATGATATATCGAGGAGGTCTCGTGCAAATTCATGGCATCCTACCGACCCACATGAAATGAAACAATTTCTAGGACTGTTGTTTCTAACCGGAATCATAAGAAAATCAGCAATCAACTTGTACTGGTCTACAGACCCCTTTGTTTGGTGCTATCATGAGCAGGAATAGATTTCAGTTGTTGTTGAAGTTCTTACATTTCAATGATTATGCAGAAATGCCTGGGGCAGACGACCCTTCCCCAGACAAACTTTTCAAGGTATGCCCATTGGTGGATCATCTATGTGAGAAATTTGGCGAGGTTTATACACCGTCTTCTAATATCTCAATTGATGAATCTCTGCTATTGTGGAAAGGACGCCTTGGTTTCAAACAGTATATTCCTCTAAAGAGGGCCAGATTTGGAATAAAATGTTTCATGTTATGCGAGGACTCTGGATACACCTTCAAGTTCAAAATTTACATGGGAAAAGAGAATGTCCCCCCAACTGCAGGTGCACTTTCAGTCTAAGAGAGAGTTGTGGCTGACCTCATTGAACCTTCGCTTGACAAAGGCTATCATTTATATATTGACAACTGGTACACCAGCGTACCACTGTTGAAATTTCTTTTCGATCACAGCACGCTGGCATGTGGAACAATACGAAGTAATCGTAAGGGATTCCCTGATCCCGTGAAAAAAGCGAAATTGAAGGTCAAGTCAAATCTTACAGAAGCAGTGAACTTGTTGCCATGAAGTTCAAAGACAAGAGAGAGGTGCTAATGCTAACAACAATTCACAATGAGGAAATGGTTCCAGGACTAAGACTTCCAGCCCACCACAAACCAAGATGCATTGCAGACTATAATAAATATATGGGCGGAGTGGACCGTACTGATCAGCTGATGCAGCCATATGACATGGCAAGAAAATCCCTCAAATGGTACAAGAAACTGGCATGTCATTTTCTGCAGCTTGCCATGCTAAATAGTTTTCTAGTTAACAAGAAAGATCGTGGCCAAAAGCGCTTTTTGGAATTTCAGCATGATGTGATTTCAGTGCTTCTCTTTGGTACAGAAAATGACCAGCCTGACATTCCAAGAGGGGAAAATGTTTTAAGACTTACAGAAAGGCACTTTTTGGAGCAAATCCCACCAACAGCAAACAAGAGAAAAGCTCAGAAGAGGTGCAGAGTCCGTTATAAGATTCCTTTTTGTCTTTCAAGTGTTGGCCCAATACACAAACTTTGTGTGGTAAAGTTCGAAGCAAGGGTAGTTGCACAATCCGGGCTGCGATGGACAACTTGGGCAGTAATAGCTGGTTTCCTACCTAAATTTGCTTCGTTAGAAAGAAAATTTTATGACCTTTCAGAAAATATCTATATGTCTATAGTTTCGGAAAAAATACTTCTAGGGTTTGAGGTTTTTTGTGAGACACCCATTTTCAGTTAAAATGCAGTGGCACACAGGGTACAGAAAGGGGACATGGGGCGTGGCACTCAAGGGGTTACACTTACTTAATGAAAACAAGCTGTAGAAACACTACCTAGTCCAATACTTACAGTAGAAAATATTGGACCAGCAACAAGATGTTCTGATTAGTTATTGGCCCTCTGAGCTGTATCAGTTGTGTAATAATGTATTGCATTAGTCAAAAAAGGGGCTTAAAATTGCCTAAAACTGAGTTTTATTGCTGTGGTCCTTTTTAGATCTGAACTTGATGTCAGCCACTGCTATAATCCTGGTGTGGCTTGGAAAAAACAGTAGTAATGAAATATGCCTTGAAGAACTAAAGAAAGAAGCCAAGAGGATGGGTTTAAAGCTGTTGCACAACAAAGACAAGAATAAGTTTATAAGAGCAGTTGCATCCACTTTGCAGCGATAGAAAAATGTTTTTATTCCTTCAGAGGTATCACTCAACAAAGTACCCCTAGAAGATGTATCAATGTGTAGCCCCTGAGGTTTTACAGGCAATGTAGGTGATGGCCTTTACACTTGGATGTAAAAGGTTTATTCTCTCCGAGGACAATGTGCATAGAACTCTGGATTTTGCAAACGTTAAGTAACAAAGACAAGAGCACCTAATATTAAAACAGTTGGATGTCCTCTTTACTGTGGGGAAAAAAGGTTTAAATTCGTCCTGAGATATCACTTAAGTAAAACCCAAGATAATGTGTCAGTCTGTAGCCCCAGTGAGTTTTTTGCAGGCCATTTTATTGTGCGAAGGTGATCATGTTATACTTGCAAGGAAAAGGTTGGGTTTCTCTGTGGAAAGTGTGTGTAGAACTTTAACTTATGCTATTTTTATGCAAAATGTTACTCAGCATGTGCCTGTACATTTCTTGCCCATGGTTTGGTACACCAAGCACTGTTGGTGACTGGCTGATGATGATTAAAGTTTATTTTGTTCAAGAAATATTTGGCTTGAATTCTTTATTTCTTTTATTTTCTTTATGTTTAGTTGTACAGCATCTTGATTTGTCAATGTATATTTTACCAAAGGAAGAGACATCCATTAGTGTTTCTAATTTACTAGTATTGTAGGCAGGATTGATTGCAGAACAGGTAATCCTACCAGTCCTGGACCTGATACTGTACAATATACTACCAAAATAATACTGTTCTCCTTAATCTTGGACATTAGGTATTTTCAGGGAATTTGGAGAATATTTCTGTCGACCGGCACGGTCTTAATAGACTAGATCAGAAATGTTTTGTAAGTGTCGAAAAGCTTGCGAGTTTACAGTATGCAGAAGCTTAGAAAATTCCTCCACTTGAAATCCAAATTAAATTTTAAAATCGCTTGACATTTAAAATTAAACATCTAATACTCTTTAGATATTTGAAAGAACATTTCAGGAGCGTTTCTGTAGAAATTTCTGACTGCCGGACACAGAGTATTCTCAAAAACCTGTTCAGCTGCCGGACATGTAGACACAGAAATGTAGTATATTCACTGTGAACTTTAGATGTTACGCTTTTGAAACAAGAATTAGGAAAAATTACTTACTTCTCAACAGGTTTCTTTCGCTGCTATGATCAACAAGCTGAATGAAATGATAAGACACATGCTTTCTGCCAACATTACAGAAAATCAAATTTCCAACCTTGTGTTTTTCCACAAAAAAGCAATTTTCCAGGTGGTATTAATTTCAACATCAAGAAAAACCCATGCTCAAGAATTTGTGAAAATAATTCTTGAGAACATGAGGAATAATGAGGAAAAAAACAGACATTTCATTGAAATAAATTTCAACGTCAAGAAAAACCCATGCTCAAGAATTTGTGGAAATAATTCTTGAGAACATGAGGAATAATGAGGAAAAAAACAGACATTTCATTGAAATAAATTCTTACCGTGCTGAACCGTCTTCACCGAGATGAGAAACCCCGAGAAACCCACCGTCCTAGAGCTCTGACGGTGACATCTTAAAGGTGTGAGACATTGCATGACACTCATTTAACCATCATGGACAATCTTAAAGTCCCTAATGACTCACCTGTTTCATCATCGTCCCTTGAAGCAGCAGCCAACGGCAAAGGAGAGGATGAATAATCGAATTCAGTGTAGCTGTGCGAAATGTGAAAGCAGTCATTGGAAACAGAAGTCTTTGAGGAAGATGTGATTTCTTCGTTGGAAGAAGGTGGAATCGAGGTAACTGTGATGTCCGAGTCTACACCATCCATATCATCCACATTTGGACATGTGGAAGATGAAAGATGTTAAATGTGAGTTTTTTGCTAGAAGCCAGAATGAGTAATACGTCAGATTACTCTGTTGCTGAATAACCTGCAATGCGCACCATTGATCCTGCATGCATAGTTCTTAATAATTTGCACAAGCTAACT